GGCTTCTTTCTTTGGTTGTGCATTCTTATGATACTGATATCTAGAGGCTTCTTTCTTTGGTCGTGGATTTTTTTTGGTAATGATTTCTAGAGGGTTCTTTTTTGTTGCCTCGATTACTCCTATAATTTGTTTTCGAATAGCAAGTTGATCTTAAAATTTTGCTTTTCTTGTTTTTATTATATCAATGTTTACATTTTTGCAAAATGTAACCTGGCTTTAATGTATGAAATTTTTTTGAATAGACAAGCTTATATTTTTTACTTATCTTATATGCTTTGCCTTTGACCCTGTCACAATGCCTTATGTAGGAAGCTCAGCAAAGAACCTGTTTTTAGACATAAAAGTTTCCATTCCCTTACCATTATCGTATATGTTTCAGAACTATTTGTTTCAGAACTTTTTTGAATTTAGCCCCAGTTAAGTCACATTTCCTACTTCCTGTTTTTACAACTAACAGCACAATAACTACATTTAACATTAACACAACAAATAAATACCATAATGGCAAGTACATATATGGATGAGTTACAAGAAAACTACTGCCTATTGTTAAAAAAATAACTGTATAGACTTATCTCAATGTATCCAATATCAGAAGTACCATGAAATACACCTAACTCTAGTAATTGGGCATAGGTACAGGAGTCCAAAATTATCAAAACTCAGCAGCTGTAAAATTATTTCTGTGATGCAAGAAGCCTAACTGTTACAGTTATTTCAAAATAATATACCTATTAGCTCTTAGAAGAACTGTTAATCATTTAGTATGTGCAGTGCTGAACACATGCAAGTATGGAGAGAAAAAGAAGAATAGACTGAATATTCACCCAGTGCTTTCAGTCAGTCACTATGGCAACTCTGAGCATGCGCATTAAGTTTTAAAATGGCAAGTTATTTTAAGGGGTGGTGATATCATGGCCGAATTACTGGTTTATAATCTAATATGCATAGCACCTTTGTATTTCTTGCCTCACGCTAGTAGAAATGATGTGAATGTCAACTTGAGCTGTTCTGCAGTTCAAAAGATTATCCAGTGCATAGATAATAAAAGACGAAAAAGTTTCAAAAATTTTGCAGAAATTTGAATTTGGGCTCTATAATACAGAAATCCTTCCGCTATACTACAGTCCACTTTAAAGGTACCAGGAGAATTGCTCAGTGAAGGAGAGCTCATTAAAGACATTTATAAGGCTGTACAAGGTAAAATGGAAAAGTGAAAATTATAAATTTGGTCGCCATCTTGAAAAATCAACCTAAACCCTACATATAGGCTACTGCCTATATAATACCTACAATAATAGTGACTGTTACTTACCTATAATTTTGTAGAGAATTCATTTATGCGAGTTTTAATTAACAAGGCCCCGTCACCACTGATCTACAACATACAAGTCTTGTGGAAGACACTGGATTAAATGAGTTCCTCCGAATCTTGATCCAAAATATACTTCTCCAAGCTAGCGTACCATCATGCGAGATCATCTGCCACACTCCAAATGTGATGAGCTAAGAAAGGAGCTGGAAGAAGTATAAAACTGCTAGATCACGACAGACTGCTGTACATTACAAGCAAGAGAAGGGTGTATTACTGTGAAATGCCACTACATCAGGAATGATTGGGAGCTTCGATCTTGAGTTTCAAGATCTGAGTGTCCTCTAAAGTGGTGTATGAGAATGGTCATGTGTAACCAACTATTTATGAGTGCTATGCATTACCTATGCACAGTAGCTACTTCAGTTTTGTCCAAATAAATATTTAGTAAGGTTGGGGAACTATTATTGCTGACAAGGTGCATGCTAATATCTGGGATATAGACATCATACTTTTTCTAGAGGACTTTATTTTCACCAGAGGGCTCCATTGGTACCCAAAACATGGCTCTAGACCTTGTCTAACATAAAAGCTAAAAATCAGCGAACCGGCCGTTTTGTTCAGCCACCTTTTTGCATCATCATCATCATCAAAAAAGTTAGTCCTGTGAATTTAGTTCTCAGTGTGTATCTCAGTCCCTGCTGGTGCTACAAGGATAATTCTTACTCCACTCTACTCCAGCAGTCTATGTGCAGGTCCATATCCCATCAAGTCATTCTTCAAGTAGAGACACAGCGATACTGTGACTGCTGGATAGAGTCATCTTAGCTGCATGCTACCATTTCGTTAATTGAAGAAGAATGAGCTGCAAATTTTGGATGTGGTCGCGCATGCTCAAACCTGCAGCTCTGGAAGCAGCAACTTTTTTTTTACTAATCTATGCTTGAAATCAACTACTGCAATATTTTAGTGGAGGTTTCCAGCTAAAAGGTTTTATCTTACATGTTACTGTTTCACCAAGTGTGTGATTTTATTTTATTTAAAAAAACAAGCAATTAAATAATGTTATGATATGCAATGATAATATGAATGACAACAGCCTGGAAGAACAGGAATAGATGCAACTTTGCAGGGAAGATGGACACTCTCAGCTCACAGCTTCTTAAACAAGGACTTGTGTCAATACTAGTATTAATTTTACTTGTCATCAGTATAGCTGATATTCCTTCTGCATGTCTATTTAATGCTGTATCTTATACATGATGTAAAGTCATAACAATGATAATAATATTAAAGAAAATTATTGTTTGTTTAAAATCAAAAAGCATAACAATGGCAACTAAAGAAATATTATAATATTTTTTAAAAATCAACACAAACATAAAGACAAAAATAAAAAAAACAAGATTAAGTAGGATTTCTAACGACCAATAAAAATATGAAATGAAAATCCTATTCTTGACGCAAATTCTACTTTATATTGTAAGGTGATCCGTAATTCTTACATAATAACATTGAAAGTACAATGTAGAGTTGAATTTGCATCATGAGTAGGATTTTCAGGTTATATTTTCGTTGGTCGTTCGGAATCCTACTTAACCTTGTTTTTTAAAATTTTTTGTGTTCTACACTTTGATTACTGTTTTGTTTGCATAGAGTTCTATCAACATTCTATTATGTTTCATTTGCTTCTTAACCATGTAAACGCACCCTTCATTATTTGAGGCTGATTTTTAAATAAATATTTCCAGTTCTTTTTTTTCAGGTTACTTGTTTCTTTCCTTCTTAGTTGTGTATAACAAGGGTGACTGGTCAGTCATTTAAGGCTGGTTTTAGAATGTTTTATGTACTACTTCTCACTATTCTTTTCTCAGTACTAGACAAATGTAAAGCATGCAAGCACTGAAGGCAATTGCACAATTCTAATTATAGTAGATCTTGTTGCTGACATCTTGCTTTGAAATTCCTCTATCACTTTTGAGCAGTCCCTGAATAAATCATATTTGAGAAAGCATTTACATCTGCTTTGTTAACCTAGGCTTGCTGCTAGAGAAGAAACATCACCTAGAATATAGATCTCAGTGCAGCTACATTTAGATCCGGCTTTGTCACTTGCATTTACATTAATAGTGTCCATTATATCATAAAAAAGAATGTATAATTTGCTTTTTCAGCCTTTGTTTTTTCTGAAGAATTTTGTAGACAACAAGTAGTCTTATTCTGCCGACCATTTGCTGTGACTACTCACTTTCAATGAAGATTAGGCTATTTGAATAGGCTTTTTAACTCTAATAATAATAGACCAAGATCCTAAGGTCCGTACAGATGTTCTCGCCTTAGTGAGGCAAGCTTGTGCTTGCCCCAATTAAGTACCATAGTGCACTGAGGTTGAGGCTGCATTTACACAGCAATGCAAAATGCATTGCTTTCAAACAATAGACTTTGAATACTCTTTTGTTTGCATTGAGTTGCATGAAGTTTGTATAATGTTTTTATTTGGTTCTTTGCCTTGTGAACGCATCTTTATTTATTTGAGGCTGGTTTTTTAGAAACATTTTCTGTTCTATTACTTCTTAATACTTGTTTCTTCCTTTCTTTGTTTCATAGTGTAGTACATAACAAGAATGACTGGTCAGAATCACTTCTCATCAATTAAAATTAGTTTTAAAATGACTTTTTATGTACTACTTCTCACTATTTGTGTTAGTTTGAAGTATTGTTTATTTCATGAGTGACTGGTCAAACTGAGTTTGAGGCTGCGTTTACACAGTAATGCAAAGTATATCGTTTTTTCAAGGATACACTTTGAACACTGTTTCATTTCGATAAAAATTTTTTAAGATTCCATTGCTTCTTTCTTATTTTTGTAAATGCAGCCTCAATCTTATATTCATCAAACAATATTTGCTGTTGTACTTCTGGTATTTATTTCTTCCTTTCTTGAGTTCATAGTGTTGTTTATTGATCATTGAAGTTCAGTTTTAAAATGATCTTTCTTATACTACTTCTCCCTATTTGAAGTATGGTTAATACCATGAGAGACTGATCAAACTGTTTTTGGCTACATTTACACAGCAACACAAATTGCATTGTTTTTCTAAAATGAAACACTTCAATTACTGTTTTTGTTTCATAGAATACATTCAAGATTTTATTATGTTTTAATTCGTTTCTCTGCCAAGTAAACGCACCATTAATTAATTGAGATTCGTTTTCTAAAAAAACATTTAATTGTTCTACTTTATTTGTAATTGCTTCTACCTTTCTTACTTTCATAGTGTAGTAGCTAATGCGACTGATGGAATTCAATTTTAATCATTTACGGTTGTTTTTAAATTGATTTTTAGTTTTAAGTATGGTTTATACCGGGAGTGCCTAGTTATACGGCGTTTGAGGCTGCACTTACACAGCAATGTAACATTTATTGTTTTTGAAATGATACCACTTCGAATAATGTTTAGTTCATTTAGAGTTCTATCAAAATTCTGTCATGCTTTCAGTTGCTTCTTAGTCATGTAAATGCAGCCTTAATTATTTAAGGTTATATTTTATATTTCCTGTGATTTACTTCTCAGTATTTATTTCTTTCTTACTTCGTAGTGTAGTGCAATAGAAGAGTGGCTCATCAGACTCGGTTCCAATTATTAAAAAATTGTTTTAAAGTAATGTTTCATGTACTACTTCTCACTTTTTCTTCCTTCTTTGTTTCAAATGTAGTTTGTATTAGGAGTGCCTCATCAAACTGCGTTTGAGGCTGTGTTTCGACAGCAACGTGAAATGCAATGTTCTGTGGTATGCTCATCTCAGCAATAATGGATTTCCTGTCTCTGTCATAACATAAGCATATAAAAGACAAATAAGCACTCAAAGTTATTATTAGTATTCTTATCTGTCTTTTAATTGTCTTCTACTATGTCATTGGTTATCCTTTCCTTTTGCCCTGAGGCATCGTCATTATTGATCCTAGTTGGTCAAATGTAAGACTCACTCTCTCAAGTGATTCTAATTTATCAATTGTGTAACATTAGTGAGTTCTGTTTATCATTGTCCCTTCTATCTCTTTTCTTTTCTCCGTAACTCTCATTCAAACACCTCACATTTATTATTATCTCTATAGTATTGAGTATCATTTAAAAGTAAAGACATATCATTTTGACAGAGAAAAGTACAGTTGTTTGCTATGCAGCGTTACAGTGCAAGAGGAGGAGCCACACTTCCTCATTTTGTGACCTGGACTGCAACTGGTCTCTCACTTGGTACTCTTGTAAGTGGATTGACTAAGTCAGCTGACGAATCTACTCTAACTGGAGCCCAAACTCCAGCAGCTTCTGTCTCCTACGTTGCCGTGAAACTACCTCCCTTCTGGCCAGCCAACCCTGAGGTCTGGTTTGCCCAAGTGGAGAAACGGTTTAGTACTAGAGGCATTACAAAATGGAAGACTACATATGACTACATTGTCAGCTCTTTCTCACTTCAGAAAGCTACAGAAATCCACTATTTCATTAAGTCTCCTGATACGAATGAGTATGATGCTATCAAGGCTGCTCTCATACAGCGGACAGCCGCCTCTCGTCATAATAGACTCCAGCAAATATTCCAGGGAGAGGAGCTTGGAAATGGAAAGCCTTCGCAACTGCTCAGACATATGGAGCAGTTGCTGGGTGACCACCTGTCTCATCATACAGCAGAGCTGCTGAAAAAGCACAGCTGTTACCTTGGAATGTAAGACTGACAGCTTCTAACCCTAGTAATAACACAGGGCAAGAGATAGCACCACTGGCTGATAAAATTATGGAAGTCACTGTGCCTACTCATCTCCCAACAGTCTCTGATACAGACCACCAGACACAGTTGCTTGCAGAAGTTACTAAAATTGGTAAAGAAGTTGCTTATCTTAAGAAACTTATTCGCCCACCTCATTTACCTGCTCGATGATGTTCCGCAATCCCCAAGGAGTAATACCCCAACTCTACAGTCTGCTCTCTGTTGGTATTGCCATTGCTATTGGGATCAGGCAAGACAGTTCCGTGAGACTTGTGCATGTCAGTCAAACACCCTGGTCAGTCGTTGATGGCTACCAACGTGACTGGCCACTCAAGCCCTAGTCACCTTTTATATTTACAACCAGTCTACAACTATTCGGTTTCTTATTGACACAGGAGCTGTGGTTAGTGTCATTACTCCTGCTGCTGATGAGATGTGTCAACAGAAAGTTTTTCTTCAGGCAGCTAATGGTAGATCCATTATTACCTATGGTCAACGCTTGCTAGGGTCAGATGTTCCTTTCAATGGGTGTTCATTGTTGCTGATGTTGCTGTACTGATACTTGGAGTAGATATTTTTTGTCGTTTTGGCCTACTGGCACATATGCCATTCCTATTTCTCTGAATAAGGAGCTCAATTACTGGTGAAAGGTCAATTAGTTAATTAGCAACCACTCGGTCTAACACTTCTTCTAGCCTAGCCACTGAACTTACATGAAGTCGTTCTTAGGGACTTCCCTGCAGTAGTACAGATCACTCAAGTTAAGGAATCTGTAACTCACCACATCCAAATCACAGGACCACCCACACACTAACTAGAGGACATGCTACAGCAAGGGATCATTCACCCCTCATCTAGTTGCAGATCAACCCTTAAGTCCCAAAAAAGTCAGGTGACTGGCATCCTTGTAGTGATTACGTGGCTCTGAATGCTAATACTGTACCAGATCGATCCCGCATGTCCTCGACTTCTCTGCTTCTCTTCATAGAAAAATGAATTTCTCTAAGTTATACTTGGTATGTGCTTATCATCAAATCCCTATGAAACCTGCTAATATACCGAAGAATGCAATTACAACTCCAATTGGATTGTTCGAATTTGTTAGAATGTGCGGCAGTCTTTTCAGAGGTTCATGGACCAAGTACTTTGTGATATGCATTTCGTATATACTTAAGTATAGTCGGTTTTACTTGAGTGTGACCGCTGACTTACTCTTAGGACTTCACTATTATTATTATGCTAGCAGCTGGAAAACGAGCTCATCTGAAAATATGTATATATCAATTTTGGAGTCTGTAGGTACTCTGAAAGGTTCTCAAAAGCTTCTTCTGGTCAACATGAAAGGAAGCGACAATGATGTTTCATGACGTGAAGCTTAGTGAACATCAATTACATCTTATAAAAGATGTCAATAGTCATGTTTCTAATATTAAAAATCAAACAAAGCAAATGAAGCACTCCAGGCCAAGATATAATAAAACTAGAAGACTTTCTTCCAGAAATAAGTCTCATTTAGTCTGCTGTACCCCTCTAATCCTTCAATATTTGTCTTCACCATTTACGCCCAGAAACTTAGTTGAAATTTTGCACTTATAGGTAGTAACAAACAAAAAGATTTACTATGTCAATTGCAGGCCTAGCAGCAACCAAAATATAATAATAAAGAAGTTACAAGAAGAAAGGAGCATTGTGAAGTTTGCAGCCATTTTATTTGCGTGTGATTGAGGCTAGACTTGACGCTTTTATGTCAAAAGCATGCGGTCTAACTCAACTGAAACCGACGATAGATGATATCCTCATCGCTAGCACTAACCCAGAGGAACATAAGCAACACCTTCACTCAGTGTTGGAGTGATTCAATAAGCATGGCATTGTCCAGAGCAACATAAGCAACAACTTCACATAGTAGTTGAGTGTTTCAGTAACCATGGCATTGTCATCAATCAAAACAACTGTGACTTTTGGGTATTGCAAATCACTTTCCTCAGTCATTTAGTCGATCAGCAAGGTATCTGCCCACATATAGAGAAAGTCAAAGCACTCTGCGCCTTTCCTTTACCAACAGCTCAACATAAACTTCGTGAGTTTTAGGGGCTAGTTAACTTTATAATAGATTAATACTTTATTGTGCATGTGTTCTTCCCCCATTGAATTATTTTCTACGTCTAAAATACAAATAGAGAGACATTCAGGGGACAGTTGAAGCCAACATTATCAAGGAGGCTCTCACCCAAGTGACTTTATCTCATGCATAATTGGATACTACTTTGAGTCTCGCAACTGATGCATCTAATGTAGGCTTATGTAACCATGAGAGCACAGTGGGTTGATGATACTTGGCAACCACTGGCATATTCCCTAGATCTTTTAAACCACCTGAGAAAGAATGTAGCACGTTTTTGATTTATTTAGCAACTAAACATTTTCGCTACTCTCTGGAGGGTTGATATTTTTACATATTGACCGATCATAAACCCCTAACACATCTCCACTCATTTCATTCTGGTCAACTTTCGCCACTAGTTTGACATATGGATTATATTCAGCAGTTCACCTCAGTCATTTGTCACGTAAATGGGTCAGCTAACTCAGCTGCAGATGCCCTGTGTTGTGCTAAATATAGGTTATACACCGAGTAGGAGGGATTCATACTATTTTAATCCCGAGGGCACAGCCCGAGTGATTAAATTATGGACAAACACATATGAGTTGTTTATGGAATTGGGAAACAGAGGGCAAAGCCCGAGGTTTACAAATTCCATAAACGCCTCATAGGAGGTGTTTTTCTGTTTTGAAAATATTCATGTGGACATAGTCATTAGAATTGGTTAATTAGGCTCAAGCAATGGTATTCTGTTGAATGGCTTCCATGTAGGGGTCTCCTTAGCATTTTGACACCTCATTTGTATCATTACCATCAATAAGAATTATTTATGAATGGTTTAAAATAGTATGAATCCCGACTAGGAGGTATATACTGTCTTTAAGCTATATTCACGGTTTTTTTAAATATTATTGAATGTTTTGAACATCATTCATAGTATTATCACGTGACTTGCCACTGAGCACATGGCCCATAATAGATGACTTGGAAATTGAGCTTTCTCTAAAAGGAAGAAATTCATAGATGTGAGGGAGAAAGATTTTTGTCTTGGCATCAGAACCACAAGGATTTACCTCTATTAGTCATTCTCGTTTCAGTCCTGTAACTGAGGCAGATATTTTGGAGAAAATAAAAGGCCATATACCACCATCCACTCGCAAGGCCACATCATTGGCGGTAAAATTTAGGAACAATTGGCGCCACAGTAGAAAGGGGGATATCATGCCTCTGGAACTAGATGTGGTAAGAAATAGTCAGTTACACTACTGGTTGCCACACTTTGTCGTGTAAGCTAGGAATACTCAAGGCAAGCCGTACACTTCCGTGAGTCTTTATGGTTTTAGTGCTGGAATCAAACGATATATGAGGCCATAGAATTCACTCCAATAAAGTGTTGGATATCTAAAATGCATCAATTGTTAATTTTTTCGAGGGGCATTTGACACCTCTTAAAAGAGCTCCAGAAAGAAGTCATTGCTACTATTAAAAAGCAAATACCTATCATTTCCACTAACCTTGAAGAACGTATGTGGAAGGATGGGCTACTTGGTGATTGTAATCCACATTTGCTGCCTGACATGATGGTCTACTGTTTGGCTCTTAATTTAGCCCTTAGAAGTGGCAGGGAGCATAGATTGTTTTGTCTAGATATGATTCAGTTAAATGAGATGAAAATGCATGACCACACATTTTGTACAGTAAAAGAGGGTCTAAAAATAATGCTTGGGGGTTCCAGGAACGTAAGGTGACAAATAAGACTATAGATTTTTGGAAACAAGGAAGACAGAAAGCGTTGTGTGGTTGAGCTGTACAAAAAGTACATGTCATGCAGGCCAGTGAATGCTCCCCCATATGCATTGTAATTACAACCTATGGCCAAACCTTTTCCTAACTAATGGTATATGTCCAGACCAGTGGGACATGACACTCTTAAT